CAAGGACGGCCTTGAGATGCCAGTCAAGTCACCTTGATGGACAGAAGGGCCTCAGAAGACTGATGGTGGGCTCGGCTAATCGTCGTTTTTCTTTCAAGAGTGTCAAATGCAGATTCCCGCCAACAGTTGATTTTCATGAATTCTTCCAGTTCCAGCACACCTGCCATTCACCTGTCAGTTTACCCAGGAATCCAAGTTGTTTACTGGTCAAATATGTTAAAATCATATAAAATCCATGTTATTTTCTGGTTAAACGGTTAAATCCCATGATTCCTGGTACAATCCCATGAAATCAGCTCCGAAACCCAGCGATTTCGCCTTTCCCAGGGAGATCTTCTCCTTTTGCATCAGAAATGCCGCCACCACGGCCACACTGCAGGAGCGGCCCGGGTGCAGTGCACCAACACCTGCCAGCTCGGAATCTCGAAACTGAAACCAGTCAACCAAACGAATAAACTTGTTATCATATCAATCAAAGCCAAAAAAAAATAATTATTCATATTATATCACATTATATGAATTAAAAAAACATATACTTAGGATGGGTGTATCATCTGAATATAATAAGTAATACTGAATAGAAAAAGGGCTCCAAAAATGCTATCTTCATGTCTTTTACTCGGGATACTGATGATTGATCCATGGATGGAAATTATATAATCCAATCAGTTGGTAGGATTCTTAAGCATGATGGTCCCCCGTATATAAAGTTTTTTTAACAACGCCACCCCCACTTCTGCAGCTGTCCTGGTGTATTTCTTCACCAGCCGAATGCCATAAGCCCCAAACTTCTCAAGCACCTTGGTGGTTTTTTTTTCCACATGGGTATGGTGTAACCATTATTAACCAATACCTATAATATATATTTTTTGTTACCCCGGGGGTGACCCTTTCTACCAACGATGTAAGCACCCCCAGGGCTCCCAACCCAGCCGATGAAAACTTCCAGCAATCCAACGCTCCCGGCAATGCTGAGATGCCCCTGCTGCCACAACCTCCAGCTGTCGGCCCACCTGCGCAACGGCGCTAAACAGACAGAGAGAGAGAGAGAGAGTGAGAGAGAAAGAGAGAAAGAGAGAGAGAAAGCAAGAGAAAGAGAGAGAGAGAAAGAGATATAAAGAAAACGAGAGTGAGTGGTGCATTTACCTCCGTCGTAGGAAAACCATAGGAAACCCATGCGAAACCATGGGAAAACCAGGGGAAAACCATGAGAATTATCATAGTTGATATCACCAAACCGATGATCGTCAACCATAATCATGATGATGGGAGTAAATTGCTAATACCACCAGTAAAATCCCATTTTTATACCATTATTACAACATTGTCGCAATGGTATAGCAATGGGATATCAACGATAATAGGGTAATGGGATAGTAAATATATGGTTGGTATATGGTATATAGTTTATAATAAATAGTATATAATGGGATAGAGTGTATCAAAGGTATATATAAGATATCGTGTAAACATGGCATGGGTAAACATGGTGAGTGCTCATGGAAATTCATAGGGATTGAGGTACAGCTATAACGAAACATGGAGATGTACTGGGAATGCTGGAAATTTGTTACAAAGTTATCATGGAGCACGCCATTTTGCAGAACTGGGAACCTTCTGACATTGATAGATCTTAAACCTTCACACCCCATGAAATAAACACTGACAGCTCAGCATAAAAGGTTCTACCCTGTGTGAACGCAAAGGGTGCGAATAAGGCTGCTTATTCGCGCCCTCGACAGCCTTCATTTTCTGCGCTCATTTCGTAAAATCTTCGATCGCGAAGCATTTCCCTAGACGGTATCTTTTAGTATCATGGTTGATATCCCCTAACCGATCGTCATAAACTATAAGCACGATGATGATGGTGGTAGTACCTGGCGAACCATCGTGATAATAGTAATGATGGAATCATGGGATTATATACCACCGATAATATGATACTCGGCCTCTGGGATAGTGCCATGATATAACATTAAACACATGTTTATTTTCTGGTGTATAGTCTCTATATATCATGGGATAATGGAATTATACATAGTAAAACAATAATGAGTATATATGACTGTCTGATAAATACATAGTCATTAAAATGGGAGTATCATATAATGGGGATGATAATGGGGATCATGTTCTTATCTGGTGGTTTATATTTAGAAACCATACATATATTAGCACATATATATATGTATATATATATATATGCAGGTCATCATGATTTCTTATTGTTATATAAAGGGGGTGCTAGCATTGGGATTACCACATCTATCATAGATAGTATGTGTATATATATATTGTATTATATATCATTTAATCTGTATATATTACATTTCTGAAATATTAGTCGTCATGGTGGTCATAAAACGCTTGGCAGACGTTGAGTAATGCCCTTGACCAGCTTAAGTAAGAATAGTCCTCCGCTGAGCACAGTATTTTTCTGCTGTGTTTGGGTTTGTGCTTGATTATCTCTCTTGACTATGGTCAACAAAGCTACGTTCAATCCTTTCAAGAGATCAATTTCCAAGTTCTAGAAACTCGTTCATAGCCCCTGTCAGTCCGCAGGTTTCCCCAGTGCCAAGCCCCAAGCCATTTGTTCATTTTCCATGATGGTCCGCTTGGTCGTGGAATCCAACTGGTCCTCATGGCAGCTGGTGATCATAGTGCAATATGTGTGTATATATATATAGATTAGATCTATTCATGTTGGGTCCAAAATGTGTTATATATATATGTATATATGTATATATATATAAGATCTATTCTGATTTGGGTCCAACAGTTCATTTTTTGCGCTTGTTTTTTCCGGCCCAACTTTATGGTGCGACACGGCGACTATCGAAGCTCCTTGGTTCTCGCTCGAAGCTTCGCTGCCTCAATCTCCACCTTCTTCTCAAAGTCCTGACGTTCTGCGAAAATCAACACCGATAATGTGGGGTAAAACATGGTACCCTCTGGTTATTTACCATAGCCATGGAAAATGGCCCATTTATAGATGGTTTACCTATTAAAAATTGTGATTTTCCATGGCATGTTAAATAACCAAAGGGTAAAACATGGTAAAACAATGAAAGCAATGCCATAAACCATCCATGCCTGGGAATGGTAAACATACCACCTATAAATATGGTGATTTGGGAGATGGTTTATGATTCTTTTACCCACATTAGATTAATTCGTATTAGATTGCATTTCTGAACATGCCAACTTTCACATTAATGTATGAATTGGATTGAATTGGTTGAAACATGCATTTATATAATCGTGTTTATGAACATGATTTGTTTAGCAGTATTATGTGTTTTCCAAGATAAAGGGGTGTATTTTTTTGAAGGTTTCCCTTCAATTCCTACACCGACATTCCTACAACAATGGGAATCCACGAGGTGAAATCGTACTTGAGAAATCCCCAAACCACTTGTGAAATCAGCCAGACCTTGCTGAGCGTTCGCATATCCATGGCTTTCTTTCGGTCAAAGTCGCTCATCTTTCGTTGAAATTCCTGCAATGTGAGCAGAACTGCTGCAAGATTGGTGGAACTAATATGTTGGCAACGCAAAGTATTTTTTGCAAAACTAGCCATTTTTCTAAAATGGCCACTGTTGTGTCAACTTCAGGGCGTTTTTCGATTACCAGTTCAATCCCAGTATCATGGCCAGCCTTAGCTACATATATGTATATATGTATATATATATATATATATCTATACATGTATATATATATAAATATGTATGTATATATGATATTTTATGATATAGTTATATTAATCAACGGTTTTCCCCAAAAAAAAACAACTCATGTGCTCAGATAATGAAAATCAAGATATTCCCCATGGCGCCTCTTTCATGTCGGCCAACTGAAGCCTCCCACCACAAAGGCTTCTTAAAATGTCTTACAGACAAAGACGTAAATCGTCGCGAAACGGCGAAATCATCTGTGATCATCTGTGACTTTACCATTTCCAGGACCAACAGGCGAAATCTACCAAACCTCGCAAAAGTGGTCCAAAATGTCAAGTTCTGAGCCTCACGCGCCACAGAAGAGATCCTTCGCCGATCTTCCGATGCGTGCAGCTGAGGAAGGCTCTCAGTTCCTGCAATGTCACAACTCTCGGCACCGCAACAGAACCAATCAGCTAGTTGCAGCTACAAGTAGTTGGTTGCCTAGACTTCTGCTCGCAACAGCTGGTGGAACAAATGCTGGCTGCGTCCTTCACAGAAGCTTCTGTGTAGCACCCAGCAGGGACTTTGAATTCAATGTGATCCATGGCCGGACAAAAAGCGCAAACAACCCTCGCTATTGCGGGTGAAATTTGTCCCAGTGTGCCTGTGCTGCTACTTCTCACACTATCGATCCAAAAGCTGCAAAAGCATGGCACCAGACAGCCTTGATTCGGCAACCAAGCAAGATTGAACCACTGATATAATTATGTTTCTACTCTGGCTTTGTCATGTCAGCCCCTTAGCAGAATTGCACCCATGTATACATAATCAACGCACACCTAACTTTGCAGTGTATAACCATACATATATATATATATATGTATAGATATATATATATATATCTTTATATATGCGTGTGTGTGTGTGTGCTTCAGGGCCATGGAGAAGCTGATCGCAGGCTCAGCCCAGGGGTCGGCGGCAGGGGGCGGAGCCCCTTAATAACATTTATAATGACCACAGAATATGTCAGAATGGATCAAGAACATTCAAGAACATCTCCCTGGCAAAGAAATGAGACATACTGAGACGGAGCTGTAACACGTGGAAGAGAAACCGGCCTTGGCAGTTCCTTATTTGAGCTTGGAAAGAGCTGCGGACATGAACAAGGCAAAGAAGGCAACTGGCTGGAACTTCCACCCAAGCCACTTAGGCAATGTGAATTTGATACCCTCTGGTAATGACTGACATAGCTATTGAAAATGGCCATTTATAGTGAGTTTTCCCATTAAAAATGGATAAAAATGGTGATTTTCCATAGTTATGTTAGTTTACCAGAGGGTACACCATGTGCCGCAGGAAGTGTTGCGGCTAACAAACAGACGTCTTTTTGCAAGCTCAGACAGGGATCAGCTCTGCTACGCCTGCCATTCACCACAAGTTGTCTCGATTGACTCCATGTCATTTCAGGTCAACCATTAATCTTATCAAACAAAAAACAAAAACCTCGAAATTTGTTGCGCCCAAAATTCTTGATGGATAGTTGATGGATAGTTGATTTATCTGGGTAAATTCAAATATTTTACTAACCTGAATTGAGGCCATTTGGGGATGATTTCCCTTACTAACCATGATTCAATTTATGTTGATCTACTCACTTAAATGACAGCGTTCCCCACAGCAGCGGCAGCCCCAGATTTTTTCGGCCCGGTGAAGCCCGGGCCTCGCTGGCGGCCATCTCGGCCTATGGCAATGCAAAGAAATCTCCAGGCATTTTTGGATACAACATGACAATACTGATAATTAATGATAATTGATATGTATATGAATATGTATTGATTATTGATAATTAATGATAATTAATGATAATTGAATAATTATATGATAATTGAATATGTATATGAATATGTATTTGATAATTAATTGATAATTAATGATAATTAATGATAATTAATGATAATTAATGATAATTAAGGATAATTGAATATAATTGATATAACAATATCTGGCTGAAGTATCTGGCTGAAATTCCTGGAAACTCTTAGACTCTCGAAGCCAATCTGGCACGGTGAGGGATTCGAACCACTGGCTCAGCAAACTCTGAGACCAGGACTTGCATGCTGATCTCACTGGATTTTCGTTTCAGCTCTTCTCGCAATCTGGCACGGCTAAAATGGGCCAAGTCTGCCAAGTAGCATCAGATCATATCAGATCTCTACGACTAGCCTTGCACTGAATCTACGATGGCCATCAATCCCCCATCATCACTTGCCTTGCATCCTCCCACATAGTTGCCAAATGTTATAGGTCCAAGCCTCTTCCATTGAGAACGAGGAGGATGTCTGTCGATACATCGTGCCCTTGGCTGGTGCAATGACTGACGAAGTCAGTCCAACCTGTTGCTTTACTCAGTTGGGAGCCCTCGAGTGCAAGCATCGTTCAGCAAATTGATGCAGACCTCCACAACAGATCGATGGCAGATCGATGGCAGATCCTGGCACAGCAACGAGCAACGCGACCTGACCACTGGAAGGGCCACCCAATGCAGCAGCTGCGAATTGGCGCCCTCGAGGATCAGCCTGGGGGCTTTGAGAACTCCCTTCTCAATGGTTCTTGACATCCATGTAGATGTGACAACGATCAGAAAGTATCCAAAAGCATTTATAAGATATCAGTATATAGTAGTATAATGTAGTATATATATCTAGTTTTTTTCACTTATCTATCTATTTGTTCAGATATTTATCTATCTATATTTATTCATTCATTTATTTATCTGTGTCTACGTATCTATCTTTCTATTTGCTCTATTTATAATATACACATATTGTTCATATATATATAATATATATGAATATACGTATATATATAATTATACCCTATTATATATATATGTATACATATATGATTAAATTATCAAATAGATTCAAATAGTTTCATTCGCTGATGAACCGCACTGGAAGAGTACCTCTGGAGGAGCATGCTGAAGCTGCTGAAGCGCTTCGCTGGACAGGTGGAGCATGTACCTCACGGTAAGACACAGTAAGTCAGCTGCTGCAAATTGGCAGCATGGATCATGCACCCAAACTGATTATCAAGACAGTTGAAGTTAACCTCTTGGATCCCGGAGGATTGGGAAAGTAAAATCGAAAATCCCATTGCCAAACAAGCGGCAGATTCATTGAAACCAATCATGCCCCAAGCTGCACTTCAGCAAAGTCAGGAGACGAAGCTCACAAACCAGGCTACTGCAAAAAAGAATATATAGATGGAATAGGCAAATATAGGCAAATGAAACGAAGAGCAAAGGCTTCCAAAGCCTGGTAAGCATGGAATCAGATTGCTTCTGCATCTGCTTGCCAACATGACTCTGGGTTCGCACTGCGTGAAGCCAGCACGAAACTCATCCCAAACCTGTGTTGCAAGTGAAAGAGCAGAACACTGCCAGCATCAACCATATTTTCACAGGCAGTCAGAGCAGTTGGAAATGCGTAGAATGAAAGCCGTGAAGCCAAATCTTGCCTTGAACTCGTCAGGAAAGGCCTGCATGGCACCTGCTAGTTGGTCTTGACAAGGGCAAAAGAGGAAGAACAAGAGAGCATCAAAGTCAAAATTGATGATTACTACATGATACTACGATAACATCCATAACTTCCTCCAAAAAGTGGCAAACCAATGCTGAAAAATGGCTCTGGCCGTTCCATTCAATCTGTCTTCGACGAATTGAGATGGGAGGAACATGGACAAACTATGAAACAGCTGTGTCTTTAGAATTCTTTAGAGTTCTCAGTTGATACAGTATCCTAAGTCTGAGATGCCTTGAAAATGTCCAAGCACTGGATTTGCCGAAGGAAAGTCATCCTGATCACGTCCACTTGAGCTCTGCGACAAAAGAACTGGAAGCAATTTGCATCTGCCGAAAGGAATCGAAACGCAACGCGATACCAAATGCTTTAAGATCCTGTGAGGAACAGTGGAAGCTGGGCCTTCCCAACAGGTGCAGGTGGGAATGCTGGTGGTGTGAAATGCTGCTCCGAGTCAGCCTGGTCTTGATTGGAGCTGTACTGTACCAGAGCAGAAAAGGATGGATTTGATTCTGTCATTCATAAATATTCAACGTCTCTATTGATATATATGAACTTATTGATGCTATTCCGCTGTACGTCTCCAATGTGAAAAATATGACGCCCCGTGATGTCCCCTTTCAGCAGGCTCCAGTCACATGTGACAGGAAGTGACACGACGGCCTGGGACTCAGCTTGGACCTTTCGGCGAAAACAGCGATGAATCACAACAGCCATGGCTGGCCAAATTGCGCTGTCAGGAGCATGTCAGAATTTGGCGGGAAGAAACTGGATGCAAAATGAGCAAAATGTCACATACAAACTCGGGGAAAAAAACAACAACACTTTGCCAACCTGACGCGCGCGGCGCTGCTGCATTTGCTGCTGGAGTCGTTGTTGCTCTTGTAGCTGCTGTACCCGTGCCTTCGGAGACACTCACGCTTTGATCTGTAAGGTGTCCACCTATTCGGTCTATTCGTCCTTTGTTCTTTGGCTTAAACTGCAGCATGATGTTTGTGTTGTGGCCGCAAATAAATCAAAATAACCTCGCTTTGAAAGAAGACAAAGAAGGCCTACCTAGAGACTGCAGCTAGGCGCGGGGCTTTGGCATCATCTTTGTCAGCCTCGCCTCGTGTCAGGATTTGGGTGCAAGCACTGCTTTAGCACTTTGTTTTGAGACCCATGGAAGTGACGATCATCTGATGAATGAAAATTGGGAAATGTGCCAGAAGGGTCTTCGACTGCATCTAGAAGCGTGCTCTTCGCTGCCTTCACATGACAAGGAATCAAAGCCGGTAAACTCACGCAGAAAATATCTCCAAATGGTACCAGATGGACACTGCAAAATATCAAACTCCCTCTAAAGGCCCGCAAAGTGGAATGCATCTTTTGGGAAGTTGGGGTTCGTGAATGTGTGTGTTTGTGCGTACCATATGTACCATGCTTCCCTAGCGAGAACGTCATTCGAAAGTTCTATACTGTCTATTTACATCCCAATGGTTGAATCAAAAAAGTGCGTGATCAGTTGGCAAATGTATATCATGTACTTAACTTAATTAAATTTAATTAACTATGATCAATCATGTCAAGCAATGACACAGCACCACCCACCAGCCTCAGATGTCTCCTCTGTCTCTGGTCTGTCAGTGCCAGATCCAGCCGCTTGACCATTTTGATCTATCTCTGCCTTCACATCCTTTGGCTCTGCGAGACTTTCGGGCTTCGAAGCATCAGCTTTACCCGCTTCAGTCTCTGCCATGAAGATATCGGATGCAACGTGGAGATGAGACTTCAGCTGGTTTCTTCAGTAGGATTGGGAGGAAATACAAAAATCTGGTGAAGAATGCTTGGGCATGAGATATCATTGCATTGCATTGGCAGTCTGAAGAATCCGTGAAGGGATATTGGCTAGTAGATTCTCAGCTCTGAATCCTCAAGTGGTCTGAATCTGAAGAGTGGTCCATGTTGCTTCTGCCTTCCTTTACATGAGGCTTCTTGAGCAGTTATGTACTTGTTGCGTTGTGTTTTCTTAGATTCTTTTCCAGGCTGGCGTTTAGTGATGATACGACCACGTTGAACAATGGGCTACCAAATCAACAAAACGGACAACAAAATGCAGCACCGGATGCAGTGGAAAGACCTATCAACCTCAATCTGCCAGCAACATGCTCGGCAGTGTGCTTTTTTCGAATTCTTCCTTGGCTTTGAAACTGTCCTTTTCTGTCTGCTGACGTGACCAGCGAAGGACGATGCTACATGAGTTCGCAGCGACGTCCCCTCTTTGCGCCAGTCTGTTCTTCCACCTTCAGCCATCTCGGAATCGGCAGTGCCACTGAGACCCATTCCCTGTCAGTGCTTCAGCCATCTTCATGACGAGGAGCACATCAACCCCATCTGGAGCCTGGCAGCAAAACACATCAAAACATCAAAACACAATAAAAGAAAGAATGTGAAAGAATGGGATTGAACGGCATCATTCTATCACCCCCAATCCCAAGGGCAGCTTCAAGTGCAAAAAAGAAATCAGAAACCACCCAATCGCACGTCAAACACAAGGACTCATTATCAAAAATTCAGTTGAGCTCCAGCCAATCGACCAATAGAAAAATAATAGATATATATATATATAATAGGATATTTTTTCTGATATCCGAATTAGGTGAATCATTCCTGCAATCGAAATCTTTTCTGCGGGCGACTCTTGACGGTCACTTCCTCGGACCGGTGTCCCCTCGCCATCGTCACAACTTCACAACTTCACGGCGTGAGACGTTCGAGCCGCTTCGAGCAGAAAATCAACTGATATCGTTTCATATCCTTTCATGACCACTTTGACCTCTTATGATCTCCTATGATCTCTTATGACCAATGACGTTTTATGACGTTTTCTGGTTTTGTTTTATCATGTTTTATCAATCTCGCTGTCTTCCCTTTCTCCATTCCACATTGAGTTAGACAACCGGTTTGAAAAAGCACTGGCTTCACGATGCTTCAAGCATTATTGTGAACAATAGTGCAGCTCAAGCGGCTCAGTCTGACAGCTGGTATTGCTATGTATTGCTCAGCTTGAAGAAAGTGTGGAGTGCTCAAAACAAGTATATGTAGAATATGTAGTACAAGTATCTGTATCTAGTCTATATTAGCGTTTTGCGAGCGGCAAGCTCCAAAGAAAATGGGGCTGGACATGCTGCTTTCTTTTTATGTCACGATATCTCACATGTCCCCACGCTGGAAATATCGACAGCTGGGCACTTCAGATTCAACCACTGAGCCTAAGGAGAGGGCCGAGGTACAGTTGCTTCCAGAAAGCCAAAAAGTTTCTTTAATATCTTTAATCTGCAGGCTTCTACTAAGGGAAGAGCTCAAAGAGATTGACGACCTCAGAGCTTTTCAGCGGCGTCCACAAACGGCTCGTGCTGTCCCGTGTTGTCGCGTGCTGTCCAAATTTGCTGAGATCAGAAGCTGTAGCCATGCCAGATGCGAAAGCTACGCCTTGAGGCGCGTACGAAACCCAGTTCTTCGCCTTCAGGTGTGATGGCCAAAACCAGCTCATCGCCGTGAAAGATTCGGACGCGTGCATCCTGGAAATGCAGCGTGCACAAAACATCACAAAACAATGAGCAATCCACGTCAGAATTGCAGAGTAACATGGAGTAATATGGAGCAATTGGGTACCAACACCAAGATGTACCAAGTAAGTATTCGGGTCCCAGATTGATCCACATTGTCATCTGCCAAGGCTGCACCGTCGTCAAATGTTCAGGCAAGGGTCCATTGGATGCTTATAGGGCGGTCTCGGCAACCTGGCATGACGAAACGGCAACAAATCTCACGCCCAAAAGGACAGCACAGGGGCTCCAAGTGTTTCACTGCAAAATGCCTATGGTGGCACCAAAGGCCTTCAGTGTTTGGTCGTGAGGACCTACTGGGGCGGTCGTTGGGACCTGGACTTGGTGCAAGTCGCACGTGCCTCTTGCCGTTCAGGCGCGTGCCATTCGTAGACATGTCCTGAACATAGCCTTAGGATCCGAAGTCTTCGAAGCATCTAAATGTTTATAGGTTCCAAGTGTTGCTCAAACCCAATGTGTTGCTGAATGCGGTCAAACCTGTTCCAGCACATCCAACCTGCGAAGCTCTTCACAGTTCGGCCGTGCTTTCGGAGGCATCCGCAAGCTTTTTAGCTTAGCTTCAGTTGACCGATCCGCCAATACTGAAACTGATTCACAAATGTTCACAAAGCTCTTGTGACAGAGTGTGCGGATGAAACATCTAGAATCTAGTCGCTCTCTTTGAAGCGATCTTAGATTTTTAATGACTTATTAGATGACTTTTCTGTGGCTTGATCTACATTTCAGAGCGCCACAGCACATTTAAATCATTTAAGGACCGCAGCCACAGCTCAAGCACCAGGCCTTGGAGACATGACATGATCAGACTGCAATATACTGCAATCAGATTTCATTGCTCTTCATTGCCTCTTTATCCGAACTTTATCATCTTTCGACGCAGCTGTTCAGTCTGTTCGCTTCCCACAGTACAATATTTCCCCCTCCACAAGCTTTCAGGCAGGCATCATCCTTATCTTCTACAGGCTCTTTGCCACGGATCTCTTGTTGACCCTGCCAACGACGTGTTCACTTCCCCCCATAGCAGGAATCGATTGTTTGAGAGATGACAGTAATCATCAGTAATCTACCGCTTCCAATTTCCGGTTCAACAAATGGCATCTCACAAGAGGGGCCTCAAATGTACAACAGACTTACAGCAGTTACATGGCTCATTTGGTTACTGATGGTCACATGCCTTGCCAGGCGGTGACAGCGGCTCCCACTCTTCGACATCCAACGGGCTGGCTGGCGATACCTCCAGCCAGAGTCTGACCCAGCTGATAGCTTCAGACAGCTTCAGATAGCTTCAGACATCTTCAGTCTTGCATGTGCTATACAGGATTATACAGGTGTCTATTGCAGAATGGTGTGCTACAACAAAATTCCTTGAGGCTCCACCATCACTGGTAATACTGATAGCCACACGCAAATGTCTCTGTGAAGTACACACAGCATGCGCAGCATATGCGCAGCATATGCGCAGCATATGCGCAGCATGCCTCTTCTTCAAACCATTTCACCTTCGGACAATCAACCCACCTGGATAGCGGCTGCTTTGCTTGGTTGATAATGGGTCGATACTTTGGTGGCAACATCCAAAAGGTGACAAAACCTGTGAGGTCTGATGTCAAATGTGACAACATGTGTGTGATGACTTTGGCAAGCGATCTTCGCGTTGCACAGCCCACCTGAGATACTCTTTGCCAGAGGGTAGCGACTGAATGGCCAGATTGTCAAACTTGCTCGCATCCGTTTTAGACACCTACATCAAAAAGACGAAGCATAGAACTTAGCACGGCTTGAAGGGCCTTTCAAGGAAAAGGTGACGCTAGCTAAATAAAATTATTTCACAAACATTATGCAGGCACTACCAGAAACAGGTCTGCTGCAACTGCTGCAGTTTCTTGTAACGTGATGAACATCGGCCTTTGGGTCCAAAAGGAGCCGCTGGCGCTGTTGCCAGTTTGCTGGAGTCGCAAGTTTGAAGTCCTTCCAAGGCTTGACGACTTTCGAAGCAGAAGTTGACTGCACTGAAATCAAGATGAAATCTAGTCGTTGGAGGGTGTCGTATGTTCCATACCTGATTCACAGAGTCTTCAACAATGAACCATGTAAAACCCTTTAGGGAGAGCCTTGGTGAGGATCAAGGAGTCCAGCACTCCTTGGTAAATCAGCTACATTTGAGCCATTCAAACCAGTCACATTGTTATCAGATTTGCATAGATTTGCCATACAGCAACAGAAAGTGCTAGCATCGATGCACCAAAAAGTGCGACTTGGCGGATGTAGGCGGCCGACGGAGAATCTCTGCAAAGTTCAATCCGGTGGTCATAGGATACTGCATACCTTGGTGGTCAGACTGGAATTGAGAGTTCCAAAAATCAAGAAACTGAATCCGAAAAAAATCGCAAAATATCGAAATGTAAAGATGTTCTTGCGCAAGGCTGCATCGTCGGGATCAATTTCGAGTGGAATGGCTTGGTACGGTTCGGTTGTGAGGGCTTCGCAGGATCTGGCACTGTGGTTGGGAAGCCAGTCTCTTTTTGGAAGTGCTATTCCAGAAGAGCCTTCAGGCAGCCTTCAATCAGTCCCATGAAGTCCCCAAAAGCCGAAGTGATCCGAAGTGGCTAAACTCTGAGCACGGTGGCTTTCAACAGGATCTGGGTATGAAGGCAAGTCGCTCAAGCGCAACGTCTTGTCCTTTCCAATCACGAAAAGCCCCCGTGCCGGGCATGTCTCGTGACCAGCTGTATCTGAAGGTAAGAGACCTCAGCGGGCATCAAGTCTCCTATTCCTTGAATTAAAATGGTTCCCTACCATTGACAATGGAAAAGTTGCTATTCTTAAGGCCAGCTTAGCTTCTGAAACATATCCATACTTACAAGGCGCTAGTCCCTGCAACACATGCCAAGCGGGGCAACCTTTCATTCACATGAACTTGACCAATGGATAATAACTATGGCCGCTTGGCAGATGCTGTTTTGCGCAACTCAAGACAGGTCCACTCACATTACTGGTGGTCCAAACCGGGTTGTCAAGGGTGTGCGGTTCTCCGATCCGAAACCCTTTTTCTGACGTGTCTTCTATCATGGAGTAGAGTTGCGACTGTATTACCATTTATTACAAGTTCGCGCATGTGTATTGTCTCTGACGTTCCTTTCCGATCAATGATTCACAGCTGAAGCGCCGAGAGTTGCGGCAATATTCAGATTTCGATCCTCGGGTGTTGCAGCATGGTCCACACATGTCCACACAGTCCACATACTTCTGACTTCAACCACTATTGAGCCAAGTATCTGCTATCATTGTAAATCCCGAATCTTCGTCCGAACCAGAAAGCGACACTGCATCCTTGACCCATTGGCCCAAGCTTTCCACACCATCACATGACATTCCAATCCTGAGGCCAGTTGCCAGTCAAATCCGATCGAATTCCACTCGCAAACTTTAAACAAAAAACATGTTTCAAAATGGTTCAAAATGTTTCAAAATGGAAAACCATATCAAACATTATATTATATATAACAAACCAACGGAATCGCTCTGTCCACCAGAATCAATCCTGCGGACCTGGCAGATGATTTAAGTATCCCAAGGGTGAAGTTTGAAGCAATGGCTGCAAGATGCTGCAAGTCACCGCGACCGTCGCAACGAAGGACGAAGCCTTTTGGAATTCGTAGACTTGCGAGATTCTATGAAAATGATGATTCTGTATGATTCTATCCAGGATTTCTGCAGTACGGTTCTATTTCCCGTCTCATCTTCAATCATCCCTTTCATAAATCTAATCTATCTGTAATGTCAACCCCGGAATAAACTATGGCCTATGAATTAGGGGGGTACTCCTCCACTAGTCATTTCATCTAATACTTAAATGGTACCCTCCCAAGCAAACAGCCTGGGGGTTTATTAATCCAGGGTTGACATGATCTACCCAGCTCTTGTCCTAACACATCAACTCGGCTTGTGGGAAAGGCACATCGAGACACGCCGTTGTCGCAGATCCGGCAAAAACTTCAGACAGCCCATGAGTTCCGTAGTGGCAACAGGGTCAAAGTTTCTTGGCCAACAAATCCTCATTTGGCAGTGGGTCAAAACCTTGTACCCCTGGTAAATGGATGTTCATCCCTCTAAAAATGGTATTAATAGGTATAATTATTGATTCATAGCCATTTGTCATCATTTGTCCAATCTCGCGAACTGCAGAATGAAAGTCCGATCTTGCTGACACTGAGATCATGATGCTCCGTCCTCCATGCAGTCGTACTGACAAGCACCAAGGACAAAAGTGGAACAGAGCGAGAGAGTTCAAGCAGAAAGGCTGAGACATGCTGACATGCTGAAACATGAAACCAAAGTGACAGCCTATAGATCCTGCTATAGATGCCCGTAGCCAAGATCAGCCAAGGAATCCTAAGGATATTGCTGACACCTCTGTTGCAGCCAGGCAACATCACCGTCAGGTCACCCTGCGTGGGCTCTGACAGCTAACATCTGTACACTTTTGTGCCGTCTCCAGAGTATCCAACTCTCAAACTGTTTTTGTCTAGAGTCTAGAGTCTAGTGTGGGAACTTCCAAGCCACCCTCACAAATCTTTGTCATAAAGGGTGACATGTCTTTTTTGGATTTCATATGGGAAGGGGATTGCTTAACCAGCACCCCTTCCCATCTGGGACATCAGAAAGGATCAAAAAGGATCGAGCGCCTTCAGCCGATCGAGGAGGTGGTGAAAGCGGTTGATGCCTTGTTTCGTAGCACTCCAGTCGAAGTCGGGGAACTTCGCTCCCAACCTGGGCCAGGAGCGTCGGTTAAACTGCAACAGCTTATGGCTTATGTGAATGCGGAGGATTACAACTGCGAGATTCTATCAAGAAAACTCTCAACAACTCCAATCATTGTCTGGAACTCACTAGTGTACACGTTCTTTGCTACATTGAACAACAATTGCAGTTGTTATCTGTTCTGAACTGGCTTCAGCCATGTTTGTCCAGTCTGAGACAACAACTTGATCCTGAAGTCGCTGTCCCCAGGTTGGACCTCAGACGTAAGACAAACGTGAGAAGGAATCCACACAGCCACATCTACCGACTCTGATGATATGCAGTGAAGCATTTTGTACATATATATAAGTATAGTATAAATTAGATATAAATAGATTAGTGTATATATAATTATATAATATTTGACCAATGCCATTTTCGATACACAACAAGGAAGACGGCTCCGTTTCTGCAGAGCAGCTTCTGCATGAGGCCGGATTTTCTGCACGCTGTCCATGATTGGTTGGGGTATGTGCCTCATATATCCTTAGCAGCTTCACACTGCGATGGAACTATACTCAACAAGCGGAAAAGAAGACATCCATGCTCAACGAGAAAGCCAATGTAGGAATCGTGCGCTTCGAGCTTTGATGAACCATGCTCTGCGTGCCGTGAAGAATCGTCGGCCAGACGGAACCGGTTTTTCCTTTGCTTTGTCTACAAAGGCATCCTCTGCCACATTGGTGGCAGGCATGACATCCTCACCAAAGTGCCAATCTGCTGGCGTCCCTACCTGACAGTTCAATTGCAATTGATGATGTGAAAAATCTGATTTGCGATGGGAAAAAGAAAAAAGAGATGTTGATCATGTTGATCATGTTGCACTTGATAGCCATTTCCGTGCCTCCGGTCCACAGTGGGTGATGTGCAGGGAATCAATCACCCTCAAGACTTCAGAGAAGTTTCTGCCAGTTGTGGCCGGGTAGAGGATTGTGAGGCGGTTCCGTTTGTCCGGGCCTTTGCCAAGCCCGGGAGATATTGTTGCCAGCAACGAATGTGAACAATACTGAATACCGATGAATACCGATTGTTGGTCTTCCAAGGAGAATCACACCCTGCCTATCAAGAAAAGGGCGCGTGCGGGCATCGCAATTCTGTCAACGTTGCAGATTTCCAAAGGGTCCTCAACTTCAAGAGTGGATGTGCTGGGTCTGCAATCTCTAGGAGCACATTTTCTCAATAAGCTCAGATAAGCTCAGTATAGGTGCAAGCTCTGTAGGAGCACAATCTCTAAGTAGAGGGTCGGATTCCAATGAAACAATGGCGCTTCTTCTTGGGAAGCCTCGCTATTCCTTGAGACTTGACGCTGTCGTTCTCAACTGCGGGGAAGATGCCAACATTCCCAGCATGCTGGCAATCTCACGAGTCTCGTCAGCGATCAAGGGGAAGCCTAGCTCCTGCATTGGGATTGCAACGTCTTACAAAGGAATCAAAGTCATGAGCACGTCGTCGCAAAGGACTGAATTAACATTGTTTTTAAAGTAGCACATATACATATAAATAAATGAATTAATGAATAATAAATAAACAAATAAACAAATAAACAAATCAACAAACAAATCAATAAAATAAATAAATAAATAAATAGATATTATAAATAAATATTAATTATGTTAAAAATAAGTAATTATGTAGCGTTTTGATGTATTTTGTTCGGTTGACATCTGGAGTGGCCTACAGTAGGGTCAGTGATATGGTCAACTCTATGATCGAAGCCACCTGAGTGACTCCGATTGACTCCGATTGACTCCGTGGCTGCCGTGGCTCCTCTTCGTCAGTCGTCTCTGGGTCGACATTCTTGGTAGCAAGAACATCCTGCAGATGCAAATCCAGTTGTGACATCCTCAGGGGAAACACCGGAAACACCGACAGCCCAGCCCTCCTTCGTCCATCCCTTGTGTTGATCAACTGAATCGCAGCTAAGACCGATCAGTTGCACCTCAGCGTATTCGGCACAATGACTGAGACATACGGAGACGCTTGCAAACATGTTTAGACATTTCAAATCTCCATGTGTCTGTGGTGTTTCTCAGCTTCGCTTCGCTTTGCTACTACAGCGCCCACTGAGACCGACACACTACGGCGTTGAAATTCTTCTGCCAAAGAAGTGCACATTGCCAGCTCCTCGGAGTGAAGTCGGGCACGGGTGCATTCCATGCACCAGTAATTGGACGTCAGCAATTCAAACAACAATAAAAACATATAAAAACATATAAAAACAACGGTAGAAGTGCAAGGCTTCAAAGCCACAGGAATCCACATTGGGGAAGAGTTGCTTGATGTTTACTTGTTGCATTCCATTTTCATGTTGCATTCCATTTTCATGTGAACCTGTGAAAGCAAACACTCCGTGGAAGCACTTTGAGGACTTTTGCCGAGGAACTGTGGTGCATACCGGAGTGAAATCCTGACAAGAGCATACAACAAGCAATGTCCAGCAATGTAAGCCTCACAAATCTCACAAGAACCCTTGATGAATCTTGATGAAGATGTCCTCGAGGAGACTTCGACTGTGCCAATTGCAGAATGGTTCATGTTACCAATTTAGTGTGGCGTTTCAAATCAGGGTCAAATCAGTGTCTCGAGTCCTTTGGATGCGAGAACAGCATTGTCCAGCCATAGTGAGATTGTCTCTCCAAGAAGCTGTGAAAGCTGAAAGTGCCTCAAATTCAGCTCTACCAAAAGCATGGCAAATGAGCAGCAAAGAAAATCACTTTGTTCTCAAGTCACTGAAGGGTCGTTAATCTTGGCGTGGACGGCAACTGGAGAGATCTACAAGATATTCTGCAAAGTGTTGAATTGAAATTGGATGAAATCGGATGCAGAAATCAACAAAGCTTCTTCATGCAGGCTTCCAAGCGACCATCTGTTGTTCGACATTCAAAATCTGGAAAAAGTGCCCCCAGCCCTATCCTGGCGGAAAGAGAAACTTGATATCCACCAAGAGACCCAATCAAAAGAATCAACATGTTCAACATTGTTCAACAACTGATTTGTCACGCCTGAAATCAGGTGGATTAACTTGCCTGAGCTGCCAGGGCTTTGTCATACGTCCTATTTCACAAAAATTCAGAAAAGTATGACCACATTATGACCACACAGACACATTATGACCTCCGTATACCAATCACATCAAAATCATCAAATCAAGCGCCGCCTGCACCTCCGTGTCTTGACAAATCTTGACAAATCTTGACAGCTTGGAGCAAAGCACAGAAGCACAGCATCAAAGCGTGATTGATCTGACCTTCCGAAAGCCCAAAACTCATCAAAACTCATCAAAACTCTACACGCCAAGAAGCACTGGTGGGACCGGTGGGACAATTTCTGTTGTGTCCGGCTCCTCAAAGAGATGAGGAGTTGATGGGTCCGGCTCCTGAGTTTTTTGCTCCCGAGTTTCATGAAGCGTAGCAAATTGTCACCTGATGGTTTCCATAAATGGGGGTACCCCTAAATCATCCACTCTAATTGGATTTTCCCTTATAAACCATCCATTTTGGGGTACCCCCATTTATGGAAACCCCCACCTGATGGCTTCATCAAAATCAAATGGCGGCACCTTGCTGCCGGGGTCAGGATCCGGTGCCAGCGCTTCATCGTGCAGCTGCTGTGGTGGTTTCTTCGGTGCTTTTTTGCCACCACAGCAGCCCATGGCCAGAAGGGTTCAAACGAAGTCCAGTTTGATTTGTAGGAATGCCAAGGAATATTTGAAGGTCCAGTTTGCAAAGTTCATTCGGATATCGCCAAGCTGTATAGACTGTCAAGTTCATTGATTCTCAGCTTTGATTTCTTTCTTGGGGATGAGCTGAGCTTTCACATTCCTTTAGCTCGCTGCTTTTGCGAATGGTTTGGTCATCTTTGGTCAAGCAGTATAAATGCCTTGCTGTTTCGAGATTGCCAGCATTGGATGCAGCGGAGGAAACTGCAAACTGAATAGTGAATAAAGCCAAGTTGCTTCACTCTCCGAAACGCCTCTGACAATATATCCGCATCATTGCAGCAAAGCAACAGCCACCCTTGTCATACTCAAAGGTGATGGTCAAATGCTTGCGGGAGATTCCAGCAATAGGCTCCAAAGCGATCTGCGGCATGTCAAAGTTCAAATGCCTGCCTTTTACGCTACATGTTACATGTTTCAAGTATCATTCATTACAACAGCTGCTGGGGCAGGCTGCACTGCACCATCATCTGTGGGTCCCTGAATGATGGCATATGATGGCATCATGGCCCATTTGGATCCTCACCCTGATGGGCGATGCAAGTGAGGTCAAATGCTATCACCACTTCATATTTCAATATATGGCAGTGTGTCAAAACCTTGTACCCCTGGTGAACATCAAAATAGCTGGTAAATGGATGTTCATCCCACTAAAAATGGTATTAATAGGTATTGATCCATACCCATATGTCATTGATTTTCTCATTAACGTTCATTGCATCTGGCCTGGCACTGAGCAGGATCAGTACCAACTCGCAGTTTCTCTTGCCTTTGATTAACTCGGCCCTCCTGAAGCAGCATGAAACAGTAAAAGCGCTTCTCGGCTGCGCGGACAGCAGGGGCGATGGGAAGGGTATAGAAAAGTGCTGGCTCTTGGTTTCAAATGTTTTCATACCGTGCCCTGGCGGAAGTGTTTGAATCTTCTCACAATGCCATGTGCTCCTGAGTTTGCATTCTGCTGGAGGTTGCAGCCAGCCGCACGAGCACTGTGTGCACTGGTTGATCAGGCTTCTCACCTATGGGTCTACGAGTCTACGGTTTGTGAAGTCTGAAAGTTTGATTCTGTAGAAGATATCCATCGCTTTATTCAAACCCTTGCTTCTATGTAGATTATGTAGTATCTTTTGTTGTAAGGACAAACATGCATGAATCATGAATTTTAAATGCTTTGCAAGTCTAGGCCCAGGCACGCAGGAGTAATCCAACCTTGGTTGGATTGCAACCCCACTGACCTTGGCTCACTCTTTTCAGCCAAAAAGGGCAAGCGCAACACTTTGCCAAACATTGAAAAGCCGGTAAACAAAGCTTCTTTG